ATCAAGGAGGTACATAATGTCTGGCTGCGTACTTTCAGTGATGTTAAGATTGAAGAATCCCCTCAAAAGGAGGAAAACGCAAAACAAAATTTCAAACTCTTGTAGACTTTCTGGAGCCATGAGGGCTCAATGAACCTCTGAAATTATTGCCTTGAGATAATTTTTAAACCTTAAGCCAAAAATATCCTTGAAATCTTCTTAAAACCAAGTAATAGTTTGGCTTAGCTACTAAAAAATGTCTGCCTTGAGCATAATGCTGTTTTAAGAACTATTTATGTGGGATCAAAATGATAAAATCAACTAGAAAGATTAGATAGAAAACTTAGGGGGCAGTGAGTTCATGTTAATGGAGGAGGAACAACTCAGAAAAAGAGGGTGAGAATGGTTGCACAGCTCAAAGAATATAATCAACATCACTGAATTGTACATGTAGAAGTTGTTGAAATGGTGTATATTTTGCTGCGTATATTCTCAACAACAAAATAGAATTAAAAAAAAAAAATTAAAACATTGATCGACTGGTTCAAGTATTGTCAAGATAATTTCTCCATAATACAGTTTCCCATTAAGCTTTCATGAAATAATTTTGCATCCATTGATGACAGCTGTCTAGATCCATTACCTCATTAGAAATTATAAAGTGATTTTCCAGTTCTAACATTTCATTTCCTAGCTGGAATTCTTCTATTAAAAAAAGAACTTTCCCTCATCAACAATTTGCTTTATCCTGAAATATAATTTATATAGAAAGGCATAAGTAATGCTTAATAATTTATCTTCATTTTAATTGAATTTCATAATAATGCATGCCCTGAAACCTCCAAGGATGACCAATAAGGTTGTAATTTGTTCTCTTTTTAGGAAAATTGTTTCAAACTCATGGATATGCTCAAAAAGTTTCTATTAATTGTACTCATTCAATACTCAAATCGTCCCATTTTAAGCAGTAGAAACCCTTCCAACCTGGCTTGTGTCCTTCTGACACAATTTAATTTTTCCTTAGTATCTTTTTTTGCCTTCTTGTATAACAAGATGGATCAGGCTGATCTTTGTACATTTACAGCCTCAGACCTAGGATAAGCTATTTCTCCAAGTGCTATAGTTGGTTCACTTTAGTACGAAATAGTGTTGTAAGACTACAATCTGAGTATTAGAGGCAGTTTTTGTTACTAGTTTTCAATGCTTTAAAACTTTTCAATGGTCTATACTAGAAAATATATATTTTTAAAAAGAAAATATCATAAATACATACTGATATTTTCATTTCAAACTTAATATTACAGAGTTTAAATTTAACTTCTCATTTTTTATTTGATTCTCTTTTCTCTTACACTGAAAATATTGGTTACTAACCATGTTCATGGGAGCTCTGGTAGCATAGTGGCTAAGACACTTGCCTGTTAACCAGACGGGTGGCGGTTCAAACCCACCAGCCACTCCTTGGAAGGAAGGTTGGGCAATCCTACTTCCGTAATGATACTGCCTTGAAAACCCAAGGAGGGGTCGCTATGAGTCGGGGCTGACTCGACGGCACATAACAACAACAACAACAACAACAACCATGTTCATATAATTACTTATTTCTTTTATCCTTTAAATAACATTAACATTTTCATTAACATTTCAAAATAACAGTATCAATTAGTACCACTTAATAGGTTGTTGTTGTTGCTATGTGCCATTGAGTTGGACCCGACTCACAGCGACCCCTCCTTGGATTTCTGAGGTGGTATCACTACAGAAGTAGATTGCCCAACCTTCTTTCCAAGGAGTGGCTGACGGGTTTGAACCAACAGCCTTCTGGTTAGCAGTCAGTGCCTTAGGCACTACGCTACCAGAACTCCTACCACTTAATATAAAATTACCAAAAAAAAGTTTTAAATTTCTTCTTTTTGTTCTTAGAATATCTCCTACTAAGAAAATAGAGTCCAAATAATTTAAAAATGTCCTTTTTCTGTGAGGTTTGTTTTTAACACTCCTTTATATTTAAATTATATCCAGCTGACATTATTTCACTGAAGACCTTAGTTAAATAAGTTAATTAAGTGACCTTTGAGGTCACTGATGGTCTTTTCACCAATGTCCTCAAATTCATCAGCCTTTCAATATCTTCATCTTCTTGGATGTGTATGAATCATCTAACTATTTATTCCTTGACAAGATAAAAGAGCTCAACAGAAGATCTCAAAAAGCAGCTTGAGAAGATAAAGCCAATTACTATAATGAAATGTGCAAAGCCCCAGAGTTAGAAAACCCAAGGGAAGAACATGCTCAGCATTTCTCAAGCTGAAAGAATTGAGGAAAAAATTTAAGCCTCGAATTGCAATATTGCATATTTGCTTCTATGGGCAAAATATTGAATGATGCCAGACACATCAAAAAAAGAGGGAAGGAATACACAGAGTCACTGTACCAAAAAGAATGGGGCTGATGTGCATCCATTGCAGGAGGAAGCATATGATCAAAAACCAAAGGTACTGAAGGAAGAAGTAGAAGCTGTACTGATGGAACTGACAAAAAACAAGGCTTCAGAAATTGACGGAATACCCATTGAGATGCTTCAACAAACGGATGCCCTGCTGGAGGCACTCACATGGTTGTGCCAAGAGATTTCGAAGACAGCTACCTGGCCAACTGACTGGAAGAGATCCATATGTGTATACATTCCTAAGAGAGGTGATCCCACAGAACGTGGAAATTATCAAACAATATCAATATCACATGCAAGTTAAAATCTTACTGAAGATAATTCAAAAACAGTTGCAGCAGTATATTGACAGAGAGCTTTCAGAAATGCAAGCTGGATTCAGAAGAGGACATGGAATGAAGGATATCATTGCTGATGTCTGATGGCTCTTAGCTGAAAGCAAAGAATACCAGAGAGATGTTTACTTGTTTTATTGACTATACAAAAGCATTCAATTGTGTGGATGATAAAAAATTATGGATAACATTGAGAAGAATGGGAATTCCAGAACATTTGATTGTACTCATGAGGAACCTGTACATAGATCAGGATGCTGTCATTTGAACTGAACAAGGGAATACTACATGGTTCAAAATCAAGAAGGGAGTGTGTCAAGGTTGTGTCCTTTCACCATACTTATTCAACTTGTATGCTGAGCAAATAATCTGAGAAGCTGGATTATATGAAGAAGAACATGGCATCAGGATTGGAGGAAGACTCATTAACAACCTGTGATATGCAGATGATGCAACTTTGCTTGCTGAAAGTGAGGATGACTTGAAGCACTTATTGATGAAGATTAAAGACGATAGTCTGCAGTATGGATTACACCTCAAAATAAAACAGAAAGCCTCACAACTGGTTCAATATACAGCTTCACAGTGGATGGAGAAAAGACTAAAGTTTTCAAGGATTTCATATTACTTGGTTACACAATCAACAGCAATGGAAGCAGCAGTCAAGACATCAGATGATGTATTGCATTGGGTAAATCTGCTGCAAAAGACCTCTTTCAAGCGCTGAAGAGCAAAGATGTCTTCTTGAAGACTAAGATGCACCCAACCCAAGCCATGGTATTTTCAATCGCCTTTTATGCATGTGAGAGCTGGACAATGAATAAAGAAGACTGAAGAAGGGTCGATGCTTTTGAGTTGTAGTATTGGAGAAGAATGCTAAGAGTACCATGGACTGCTAAAAGGACTAACAAGTTTGTCCTGGAAGAAGTGCATCCGGAATGCTCCTTGGAAGCAAGAATGGCCAGACTTTGCCTCACCTACTTTGGTCATGTTGCCAGAAGGAACCATTCCCTGGAAAAGGATATCATGCTTGGTAAAGTGGAGGGTCAATGAAGAATGGGAAGGTGCTCAACAAGGTGCACTGACACAGTGGCTGCAACAATGGGCTCAGATATAGCAAGGCTGGCACAAGACCAGGCAGTGTTTTGTTCTGCTGTGCATAGGGTTGCTATGAGTCAGAGATGACTCAACGGCACCTAACAGCAATAACATCAACATTTATTCCTTGAGGCTTCCTTCCGAGGAGTGGCCGATGGGTTGAACCATCAGCCTTTTGGTTAATAGTCAAGTGCATTAGACACTACGCCACCAAAGCTCCTGGTTCTCCTAGCTCCTAATAATACTCTAGACTCAAAACCTGGCAATCACCTTCAACATCTGCTTATTATTCTTAATATTCTCTATCCAACTGTCAAAAATATTAATTTTTTGCTTCAGAAATTTCTGTTTATCCCTTCTCCACTCTCAGTTGCTATCCTAGTTCAGTTTTTCACACATCTAGATTAACCTCATATTGAATCTCAACATTGTCATGACTCTCCTCTTTTCAAAATGTTACTAAAACTCTTCCCCACTTTGCTCTCCACACCACTACACTTAACTTTCCTTCTACTATTTTTGTTGTAAGAATTAACTAAAATATCCATGGGACTACTTGGTAAAATAACACTGTGTCTTTTCCACATTATAAACTCCCTGAGTTACAGTCTGTTGTATAGGGAAATGCCTCCAAGAGGGATATAATTATTAGTCAAGCAATGATTTATTTGGTAAAGGGTACCTGTTTCCCAAAATTGAGTACCTATTTACTAGTCAGAGAAAGATTTAGAAGATGAAAATGTACATTTGCAAAATGTATCAAAAAAGTAAAAATATAAGAGAGGAACCAGAACTTTTCCCATGATTATGGAAGCAGAGAACTAACTGAAAGACACATTTGGTTGCAAAGTTACTGAAATCATTCTAAAGATCTTAAGAGGTTTAAAATATTGGCTCTTGAAAGCAGGACAAGATGATTTTTAGCAATGTTTTTAGCCTTGCCAATTGTGAATACTAAACAACTGATATGAGTATGCCTTTTGGAAAAAAAATATTTTAAATTCATTTAGGTAACTTTCAGCTTTGATGATCTTGCCCAATTTTCTTTAGAAGCAAAATTCAAGTAAGTGTTAATAAAAAGAATTATTAGAAACATTTTGATAATGTTATAGTAATTCAGTCAAACAAGTTAATAGTACCTTCTTCAAAATTAATGTTTTTACACTGTCGTCCTAAATCATCCACGCGATATTCCCTTAAAAAGAAAAACATGAAATACTTAACTATTATTTCCATTAATATGATTGATTTTGTATTATTTTCAGTGTTACAGTATTTCTGTATTATAGTTCATGTATATTAACATAAGTTATTCTATAAATCCACTTGTCTATAAACATTATACCAGTGAAAGGAAAAACAATAAAGAAATCGCCTAAATCTATCACTAGCATTCTATTTTTTCATATTCTAATATAATTTCTTTTAATGGCTTCTGAGTAATAAAATTATTATCAATGAAATATAACCAATAAAAATATGTAAGTTATTATGTATGTATGCATTTATTATGTATTATTATTACCATATCATCATATAAAATTTTTAAAACATTCAATTTCTCTAATGTAGAAGATCTACATTAGTAAGGTAATTTCTAGTCATTTCAAACATTAGTTATAAATGTTTTTGGACTCTTGGATAAAGCACTCTAAGGAAACATAAAGTAACAAAGCTTCTATAGTTTTAGAAAATTCTTTCTATTGTATAAAAGATAATAGAGAGACATTACAAAGAACTTTTGTATTTAAGGCTGATAAACCAAAAAATTAAAAGAAAAAAACCAAACTCACTGCCATTGAGTTTATTCCAACTCATAGCTACCCACTTTGGGTCTCCAAATCAGTAAATCTTTAAAGAAGTAGAATCTTTAGAGAAGTAGATTGCCCAGTCTTCCTTCTGCATAGTGACCAGTGGATTTGAACCACCAACCTTCTGGTTAGCAGTCAAATGCTTTAGGTACTATGCCATCAGAGCTCCTTATTTAAGGCTGATACTAATCCATTAATCTACTGCTACTTTCATGCCACTGCCCTACTTAGAAACCTATAGTGAGTAAATCATGTTTAAATCTCAAATATTCAAAGACTGTCATAATTTGTTCTCATTTATAAGATTGTCTATTATTTTTAGTTGTAAGTACTACATAAATTATATAATAAAAAAATAGGAACACATCTATAGATATCAAAATCCAAGTACAGACTTCACAAGTATAATTATCTTCCAACAATGGCAACTAATTTTACAAAATTAATTTTATTGTTTCTAATTACCTTAATATAGTAAGGATCAGAATAATATTTAGAATTCCCAAGAAGGCGCCAAGTAAAACTGGTGCTGTATACATGTTTATCTGCAGATCAACAGCATCCCATGTCACGCCCTTTTCACCAATGAGTGCAAAACAAGTCTGAAAAACTTATTAAAATAAAATACATACAGATGAATTATTATACATGAGGCAGGCTTTTTAAAAATGTGAAAGAGTGTACCACAGAATTAGAAGTAACATTATGAAATCACCCATCTATACCAAGTATTCCCAACAGGAGTAATATAATATAGCCCTAAAGGGGAGATAGTTGGTACTTGGGGAGTGGAAGTATAGAATGAAAAAAAATTACTCTTCTTATAAAGCACAGATATACATAAAAGATATACAGAATACATATGGTAGTAAAGTTTCATGATACGGGAAGATTAAGAAATAAATGTCTAAAAAGACTACTAAAAGAGGGGCAATAATTAAAGAAAGGGTGAGAAACAAATCCACATGCATTCACAAAAAATTATACCTTAAATAAGTTGTGAACATTTCCTTTCTTTAAAAAAAAAAAACCTCCACAGAAAATTTAAATTATATAATTTCTGCCATAAATCAATTGGAAAAGATTAATCAATTTCACTACATGGAAGTGTATGTCATGAATATGTCACCTAAATTACAGTTACTTAATGTCATTTTAAAATTTGAATCTGTGGTAAAATTTCCATAAAAGAGTACTGGTTGCTGTCCTGACTTAGATTCTTTATCTTGCTCTGCCAATAATTTGTTTATAACCATAGGGTCAAGATTAAGTAAGACATAACATCTAAAGCTCTCAGAACAGTACCTACTAGCACTGAGTAAACACTCATAAATGTTAGTGTTTTTTGTCACATTCATTTTTATTGGGAAAGTCATATAATCTCTTCAGATCTTGTTGTTGTTAGGTGCCATTGAGTCGGTTCAGACTCATAGTGACCTTATGTACAACAGAACAAAACACTGCCTCCTCACAATTGTTGCTATACTTAAGCCCACTGTTGCTGTCCCTGGGTCAATCCATCTCATTGAGAGTCATCTTTTTGGCTGATCCTTTACTTTACCAGCATGATATTGTTCTCCTGGGAATGACAACATGACAAAAGTATAAGAGGTGGAGTCTCACCATCTTCACTTCTAAGGAGCATTCTGGCTGTACTTCATCCAAGACAGGTTTGTTTTTCTGGCAATCCATGGTATATTCAATATTCTTCACCAACACCATGATTCAAATGCATCAATTCTTTGATTTTCCTTATTGTTTACCCAGCTCCCACATGCACAGGAGGCTACTGCAAATACCAAGGCTTGGGTCAGGTGCCCCTTAATCTTCAAAGTGACTTCTTTGCTCTGTAATACTTTAAAGAGGTCTTTCGCAGTAGATAAGGAGCTCTGGTGGCATAGTGCCCAAGGCATCTGACCCAGAGGGTTGGTGGTTCAGACCCACCAGCCACTCTGCAGAAGGAAGACTGGGCAATCTACTTCCATAAAGATTTACCACCTTGGAAACCCAAAGGGGGTCACTGTGAGTCAGAATCAACTTGATGGTAGTGAGTTTGGTTTTTTGGTTTGCAGTAGATTTGCCCAATGCGATACGTTGTTTGATTTCTGCTGCTCCACAAGTGTTGATTGTGGATCCAAGTAAAATGAAATCCTTGAGAATTTCAATCTTATCTCTTATTGATCATGATGTTGCTTATTGGGTCCAGTTGTGAGGATTTCTTTTTTTTTTTAACGTTGAAGTGCAATCCACACTAAAGGCTGCAGTCTTTGATCTTCATCAGTAAGTGCTTCAAATCTTCTTCACTTTCAGCAAGCAAGGTTGTGTCATCTGCTTATCACAGGTTGTTAATAAATCTTCCTATAATCCTGATGCTACATTCTTCTTCACATAGTCCAGCTACTCAGATTATATGCTGAGCATACAGACTGAATAACAATGGTGAAAGGATACAATCCTGATGCACACCTTCCCCGATTTTAAACCATGCACTATCCCCTTGTTCTTTTCAAATGACTGCCACGTGGTCTACGCACAGGTTCCACATGAGCACAATTAAGTGTTAAGGAATTCTCATTCTTTGCAATTTTATCCATAGGTTATTATGATCCACACAGTCAAATGCCTTTGCATAGTCAATAGAACACATGTAAACATCTTTCTGGTGTTCCTTGCTTTCAGCCAAGGTCCATCTGACATCAGCAATGATATCTTTCATTCCACATCCTCATCTGAATCCAGCTTGCATTTCTGGAAGTTCCCTTTCAATATACTGCTGCAACCATTTTGAATTAACTTCAGCAAAATTTTACTTGCATATGATATTGTTTGATAATTACCACACTGGATCATTGTTCTTTGGTATGGACACAAATATAGATCTCTTCCAGTCAGGTGTCCAGGTAGCTGTCTTCCAAATTTCTTGGGATAAATGAGTGAGCACTTCCAGGATTGTGTCCATTTGTTGAAACATCTCAATGGGTATTCGGTCAACTTCTGGTGTCTTGTTTTTTGCTGATTCCTTCAACACAGCTTGGATTTCTTCCTTCTATATTATTTGTTCTTGATTATATGTCACCTACTGAAATGGTTGAATATTCACCAATTCTTTTTGGTATAGTGACTCTGTATATTCCTTCCAACTTCTTTTGATGCTTCCTCCATCATTCAATATTTTGCCCATAAAATACTTCAACATTTCAACTCGAGGCTTGAATTTTTTTCTTCAGTTCTTTAAGCTTAAAAAATACCAAAGGTTTTCTTCCCTTTTGGTTATCTAACTCCAGGTCTTTGCACATTTCATTGCACATTGTACGTTCATACTTTATTTTGTCTTCTTGAGCTGACCTTTGAAATCTGTTCAGCTCTTTTATGTCATCATTTCTTCCATTCATTTTAACTACTCTACTTTCAAGAGTACGTTTTAGAGACTCTCTTGACATCCATTTTAGTCTTTTCTTTCTTCCTTGTCTTTTTAATGACCTTTTGTTTTCTTCATGTATATGTCTTTAATGTCATCCCACAACTGGTTTGCTCTTCAGTTACTCGTGTTCAATGCAAATCTATCCTCGAGTTGGTCTCTAAATTCAGGCCTACATTTACTCATACATAATGTAAAATGTTTAAAGGAGATCATTTTAGAATTTTTTTTTAAAATATTTTTATTGTGATTTGGGTGAAAGTTTACAGAAAATTCACTGTCCATACAGCAGCTCACATACACTTTGTCTCAAAACACTGGCTATAATTTACCACAATGCAATAGCTCCCCTCTCACTTCCTCCCCATAGTTACCTCTTCCTTGTGTCCTTCCCTCCCATGCACTCCTGCCCCTTGAGCTGTCTCCCTGTGCATACACAGCCCTTCTATTCTTTAAAGGAGATCATTTTAAAAATGCTTTTTGGGTGGTTAAAATATTTACTGAGAATCTATATCTATGGCAGATACGGTATTAAGTACCAGAGGTAGAGCAGCAAATAAAAATGATTTAGATTACGTTCTCTTTATTTGACATTATGGTGGTAAGGTTCAATTATTCTACGTTTGTGTCTATATTTATTCCAGAATATTAAACTGAAATATTAGATTTTGGTAAAATGACAAATTAGATTCCCTTCTATTGACTCTTTTCTTGGCTGAGTAGAAGGAAGCAATGGAAACTGGCAGCAGGATGGGAGAGAGGGTTAATGATGAATTAATTGAATTAGATTCATACTGATGATATTCATAATTAGGCTTTGGAAAGTATTAAATCTCATTAGCATCAATTCATGAAAGTATTGGAAAAAGACATTAAAAAATTCTTAAAGGTAAGGACAAAGGGCAAAAAGGGAATGACCTTCTTTTAACTTCCTTTAAAGCCTTCAGTCTAAAGATTTTGTTTCTAATAAACATGGAAAAAGAAAGGAAACTCTTACACAGTAGTAAGCTAAATAACTGACAGAACATATACTTTGGAGTCGGACAAGGTAAGTCTGAACTATCTTGGACAATTTACTTAAGTTCTCTATGCCTTGGTATCCCATTTGTAAAATATGACTAACAGCACTAAATTTAAAGGACTACTGTCAAAGTTAAATAAGTTGAGACATATAAAGAGTAGAACCTTGATGCCAGTTCCAAAAATATTAGTTTCCCTCATTTTCCCTTTAGCAATGAGGTTTTATCATTTGATTTCATTTAATATTTGAATCTCAAAGGTTTTCCCAGTTCAAATTCAGGTATTGACACGTGAAAAACACCTACCTGGACCAAGAATGAAACCTAATGCTTGACATGCACTTGTGTTTGCCATGGCACTTGTTCTTTCCTGAAGGGAAGTAGCACCAGCAATATATGATCTAACAACCGCTACATTTCCTAAGAAAAGACACAACAATCCAAGTAAAAGAAATATCCTTTGGTTTATAAAAAATCAATTTAATTTGGCTTTATGTGGAAGAATAAATATTGGTCAGTGACACAATCACTGCTCTCTCTTTATGAACATCAAAAGCACTTAAGATAATTTTAATGTGTAAATCTGTCAATTAATGGAACATACTATTTTTAGTAATATGAAAACACAGTTCAAGATATTGATGAATGAAGAAATGGCATTACTGGAATGTCAAACTTTTTTGATCATTAAATACTGAAAAAGCACTGAGTGAACAGCATAACACTGATTGCTACAACAATTTTAAAACAAAAAGTGTTACAAACTCTGTATGTATGGAACTGTAATATAAGAAACAGGGAGGGGGGAACCCTAACAATTTAACTGAAAGAATTTATTGAACAGCTATATGTTCAAGAGATTGCCCAGGCTACAGACTATAAAAAAAAAGTATCCTAAATAATCTCTACTTGGCAAAATAGTTTACCATCTAATTAGTGAGAAAGGATGAAAACTATGTAAGACAGTACATAAGCAAGTGCCACAAACATGCCAGAGAAATGAAAGACATGTAAGAAGTACAGTAGCTAGAGAAAACTCCATGGAAAAGGTAGAACTTGAACTGAATGTTGAAGGATAAAGAAGAGACGTACTCTAGGTAAAGGGAATATGAGCAAAGGCAAAATGATGGGAAAGGTACTTGTGTGATTGCAATAAGAGAATGATGGGATATAAACTGAGGGGGAGGGGCAAGGTCAGATGATAGAGTACCTTAAATGTCAGGATAAATGTGAACTTAAAACAATCAAACATATACATATATATATATATATATATATTACCTGCTCCAAATCCCACCAATCCACGAGCAGCCAACATGTAATATTTATTATGAGAAGCTGGGATGTGGACATATGCATAGAGGCAGTTGGCTGCCACCGAAATGAAGATGGAGATAATAAGAGGTTCTTTTCTGGGTCTATAATTAGACCATAAACCAAATATAGGTGAAGCTACCATTTGGCCAAGACTAAATGAAGCAATAACCCAGCCCAGAAAACTTGCATCAGCTGTCTGATCAATCTGCAGAAAAAAAAAATTATAATGCTTTAAGAATTGTTATTCAAGAAAAGCAAAGTTTAAAACATAAATACAATTGTCTGACCATGTAACATTTCCAATTAAAAAAAGAAAAATAACAAGTCTAACATATAGGTTTTGTAGCACTATTACTTACAGTAAGATATTCAAGCTTCTGGCATTCTAATTAATGTGCTAATTATTCATTGTACACCTAGAAAAAATGCATAGGAAGCCTCATCTTTTAGAAAGATTATGGAAATTCATGGATTATATATTTAAAAAAAAATATACTCACACTAAATACAGCAATAGGAGCTCTGGTAGTGTAGTGCCTAAGGCATTTGACTGCTAACAAGAAGGCTGGCGGTTCAAAGCCACCAGCCACTCCTCGGAAGGAAGATGGGGCAATATACTTCCATAGTGATACTCCTTGCCCAAGGAGGGGTCTCTATGAGTTGGATCAACGGCACATAACAACAATAACAACAAATAGAGCAATAACATCATGAACATCTAATATGAAACATGATTTTATTCTTATAAAGTAAATATGATAATTTAGACTTGTGCTCTCTCATAAGCTAAATAGTCCTTAATACTGAAATCTACTTTTTAAGTGGGCACAACAGTCAAATGTTTAAAGAGGATAATAAAAACATAGAACTTAAAGACAATTCTCTCCTTAGATTATTCTTCCTTTCTACATAGACACTGCAAGATGCTACTACCTTAAGAGCGTTTACATACTATGATGAAGGTTAAGGGAAGAAACAAAAGATTATTAAAATTCAGAAAAAGTATTTTTCAAAAATGGAAAATTTTAGCCTAGAAAAGGAACTGTGGAGTAAATCATCATATTTTTAAAAAAAATTTATGGTAGGCTATATAATGGTTTAGAAAAATAAGAACGATTAAATTTTAGAAAATAAGTTTAAATAAATAATGGTAGATGGTAGAACAACTTAATAAGGAAAACTATGGACTTTCCTCTCCTGAAGAAGATACATTAAAACAGAAATATTTAGGTACATTTTTGTTTATGGGGGGATGAAATATAAGAGTGAATAAAATAAATGATGTACCATATTCAAATGTTCTAGACTTAAAAATCTCTCTCATTGTAGACATTCTGGTTTTCATTTTCTACCCCTACATATGGATAATGTTCTTGATATCTTCCCACAATTCATCTGGCTTTCGGTCACTGGTGTTCAATGCATCAAATCTATTCTTTAGATGATCTCTAAATTCAG